GTCCCCTCCTCCTCCCCCGCCAGCCCTCCCCCATCCTGCCCGGGCTGCTGTATAAGTAGAAATTGCCTCGCTTTCAAGTAGCACTAATTGGGGGGTTTTAAGACCCAAGACCCAGGAGCGGGTCCGAGGCACAGCGACTGCTCTCTTTGGAAATTGTAAGCGTATTTACCCTCGTTTCTGTCTTTCCCGCGAAGCCCTGGGTGCTAAATGAGCCATGTCACACGCAGTGCTCAGACACAGTTATTTTACTCATTTGACATTCAGAAATCTCTTGCAGGCTGTGTATTTGGCTTCAGTGTCATTGGATACATCTGAAGGGGGAGACACTAAAGGAACATTTCTGGCTTTTGCTTCCTGCGGCTCTCAGGGCCCACGTGCCACGCACTGTTGGGTCTCGGCAGTGGGGGAGGGGCGGCAGCGGCAGGCTCCATGGTCCCGTCCCCTTGCCTGTCCCCCCCTCACCCGTGCCCCCTCCGCTGCTCTCCCTTCCGCGTCCTGGCGGGGCCGGTAGCTTTCGGTTGCCTTTGTTTAGCGGGCTTTGCTAAGACATTAGCAGCATCGTCGCCCTCGGGGAGGGGCGCGCTGGCATCGGTCCGCCGAGCGGAAGCAGAGAGCTCCAGATGGGAGAAGCCACGCAGCTCCCAGCTGCGGCCGTTGCTCATGTTTATCTGGGCTTTCTCCTTCCCACACACGCGAGGCCCCCGCACAAGCCTTCGGTCGATCCGAAGCGTGGGTCTGTGTCGTGGGCACGGCGCGGCCAGGGTCGTGACCCGGTCCGGGAGAGCTTGGCGTCTCGCCCCGCGCTGGCGGGCGTGGACAGGTCGACCTCGGGCGCTGCGGCTGCGGTGCCGGCCACTACAGGAAAGTGGATCATGACCCATTTGTCGGTGCAGGGACCCGCCTCCAATTGATAAACACGCAGCGTCCGTGAAGAGCAGTGAAGTGAGGTGTGCCTGCGCCCTCGTCCGCTGGGGGCTTGAGCGCAAGGCCTCCGTATATTTTTCCAGCACCCTCTGTCACCTTTACGGATAGCTGTCACTTGGGAACACACACTACTCTCTCTACAAGTGTGTTTCTCTTAACACACTCACGTGCATAGATACATGTTACACGTATGTCACATGCCTCACCCACAGAGATCTCACACACACATCTCTCGCACACCCTCACGTGCTCCCCGCCCTTCCTCCTGCACACGCGTGCGCGCGTGCCTGGATTCACTGTGTGCCTCTGGACACCCTGCCACCCGCCCCATGCGGTGTCACTTGTGTGGGACTTTGCCACAACGTTCCCCCTTCGTCCCCAGGGAACAGAGGCCTCAGTGGCCCTTGAAGGGAAAAGGAGGGGCAGTTGTGGCCCCGGAGAGGCTGGGCGGCCATTGCAGAGTGGACACTTGGTTTTTTCCATAGTCTACACATGCGCTTGAGTGGAGAGGCTCGCATGGGCTGTCGTCCTGGACGTTCGGGCTGAGCTGCCTTCTGCTTTAAGCCCGTGAGGTTTGATGAGCCCTGGGGGCGAGAGCTGGGTGCCAGCCCGTCATCCGAATGTCCTGGCGACTTTAATCCCGACTTAAAGCCAGCAGGGACGCGTCGGTGCAGAGGCCGCGTCTCTTCCGTTGGCACAGGGGCCCCTGTCAGTCCCCGTGCGACAGCAGCGTCTGGGGACGAGCGTGCTGCACACGACGAGGCTTTATTAGACCAAGGAGGGTGACTCTTTTACAGAATCTCTTTAAAAGGCATTTCTTGGGGACACTTAAGTTCAGCCACGAATTTTACTAGCCAGGTGCAGCACAGACTGCTCTCACAGGCATTACTTTGCGTGGTGGGACATTAGGATATAGTTTATTTGTGGAGGAAGAGGTTAAATTGCCCACTGCAGCTTAGACACTCTCCACGGTTTGCTGCTTTTGAACAAACCACTCGAGTCCTTTTGCAGCCCCCTTTGGCGATGGGCTCTGAAGCCTGAGATAAGGGCAGTTAAGCCACAGAACGGTGTTCAGACCCTGTGCAAATTTGGAGTAGAGCCACGAGCAGGGAAATCAGGATGTTCAAACGTGGCTTTTGAAAGAAAGCCCGAAATCGCCGTCTGAAATGAATCTGACTGCGTTGGAGGGCTTCAGCGGATCGCAGAGTGGAGCGTGAGGGGCCCGGAGCTCTGGCTCTTCCACAGAAATGCTGGCCGAGTGGCAGAAAGGGCAGAGGTCAGCTAAGCAGAGGAGGGCAGCTGGGCAGCGGTCAGCAGCGAGGGAGAGGGGGCCTCGGGGAAGTGGGTCATCAAGAGGGCCCCGGGCCTGCCTGGGGCCTCCGTGCGGGGCCCCTGGGGGGTATTCCTACACTGGACGGGAGGACAGCCCACAGAGGGCCCACCACCCCCTTTTGTTCCCAAAGGACTCAGGAGCCCCAGTTTTTATGCCAAGTTTTATATTTGTGTTTATTTTTAACTTCTTGGAGAGCTTTTGGGGGCTCTTAGCTTTAACTGCACGTTCTCTATAAATGTGCAGCCTCTTTGACTGGCTGAAGAGCGAGGCTGCCAGGTGCAGGGGGCACTCGGGGAACGGGAGGGTGGCTGTGGCCTTGATTCTGTAGTTCTGTGCCCAGGAATGAATCCTGGGAGGGAATGGGGCCGGTGTGAAGTGGTGATAAGTGGCCGAGAGTGTCGGTATGATATTTTCATAGTGAAAAACCGAGAGCAAGCTAAATGTCCCTTTGTGGTGGATCCATCACGTCAATTCTGTGGATACAGCCAGAGGAGGAAATGTCACTCACAGCATGACGGAGCTTACGTACACGTGGGTCTGAGAGTAATTCCAGGCAGGTTTGACCCAGCTTACCTCGGCGGGGACTACCTGAGCTTTTCACCTTCTCTGTGTTTTTATCATTCACATTGAATACATACTATCAATAAGAGAGCAGTTCCCGTTATAAAAAGGAGAGCCCCGGGCTGGGGTCGGGGCTGCGCGGCCGGGACTGGGGTGCTGAGCCGCAGGCCCCGGCCGACGCTCCGTCTGCTCCCCGCAGTACTCCCGACAGGAGCAGGAGCAGGAGGGCCGCAGGCGGTACGAGGCGCAGAAGCTGGAGCGCATGGGGAACAAGTGGAGGGACGGGGACATCGTGCAGCCCGTCCCGAACCCAGGTGAGCGAGGGCGGCGGCCGGTTCATGGACATCCCCGTGGGGCCAGGGCACCATCCAGACCCCTACCCATTATCACGGCCAACTCCAATGGCGGGACGGCTCGGCCGGCCCCCGGGGACCCCGCGTGCTCTTCCTGTGGGGGCACGCGTCAGGCCAGGCGCTAAGGGCGTGGCGTGTGTGCGGCCGGCCTGCCGCCCAGCGGGGTGCACACCTGTTCACAGAGACTTGGCGTCCCCAGGTTCACCCAGGAACGTGTCTGTGATGGGATCTCCCCCTCATAAAAAACCGACCCAAGGGCAGTGGCTTCCCCGGGTGTCTTTCGCCAGCCTGCCCACCCAGCCGTCGCCGTGGTGAATAGACTGGCCACTTGGGCAGGAAAGCTTTGCGGGGTGCGCAGCCTGCCTTTAGGGCATCGTCTTCCCTGTCCGTCATCCAAGGTGGTCAGCTTTAAGAAAGCATCCACCCCAAATCCCACCTGGGTCGGGGGTGTTCTTCCCCCAGAGGGGCCTTTTCCTCCGAGTCCTGGACGCGGGACCCCCTGGAGCAGACGCAGCTTGGGGCGGGGCCTCTGGGGCGGCTGTTCCCTTCGGGACACAGCGAGCCCTGGGAGGGGTCTTCCGGGACGACACGTCACCCCTCCACTGCACGCAGTGAGCACGTGTCATCAGTGCGGGCAGGACCTGAGAACGAGCTCTGTGCCTCTGCCTCTGTGTGGCAGCACAGGGGACACCTCCAGGAGCCCTGGCCTCGGGTGCCATTTGGGTCTCTGACTTGGCCTTGGCAGCTGTCTGAGGACCCGCCCGATTAACTCCCTTCCTCTCGGTGGTGCTGCCTTGATGGGCGCCAGGCCCAGGCCCCGGGTTCTTCGAGGGCTCCTGCCGAGGGCCAAGGCAGCTCCGGGGCACGGCCTGGGTGATGCTGGCGGCCCGCCCACCTTTGCGGTGTGGTCCACACGGCATGGGGGCTGGTGGACCCCCATGGGAGTGCAGGGCAGCGGGTCCCTGGCGAGCATGCAGGACTCTGGGGACTGAGTTCAGCCGTCCAGCCGTGGCCACTGGGCTTCTCAGGCGGGACCTACACGCTTGCTCCCAAGTCTGCAGATGTTCAGTTTCCTCGAGCTCTGCACCCCCTTCCCGTGTTCCGACCTCCACGTACCCAGAGCAGAGGCCGGCAGATTGGGCAGAGGTGGTTTCTGTTCTGTTTGTATATCTGCTTTTCAACAAACACCAAAAAAAAAAAAATTTCCTGCCAGTGTTAATAAAAATGTTGTTGCCTTGACGAAACTCCAATAAGCTGGTATCTTTTTAAAGTAAAATATAAAAAGATGATCGGTCTATAATGGTGATCCAAGACAGGCCTGCGGTCTCTTGTGATGACTAGGCCCCAGCGACCCCAAGCCCAGGCTCTGCTTTCAGGAGGGCACACAGGTTAGGCAGGGGCCCGGACGACTGCAGAATGACACGAGGGACTGGAGGTGTCTTAGGAAAGGTATAAACTCGGTGCTAGGAGACAGAAGCTGGAGTGGGCGCCTCCCCATTCCCTCCCCCCCACGAAGAAATGTCCACATCCGAATCCCCGGACCCTGTGACTGCGACCTTATTTGCAGAAAGGGCCTTTGTAGATGTGATCACATTAAGGCTCCGGAGATGGATGAGGCCATCCCGCGTTACCCAGCGGGCCCCAAATCCTGTGACAGGTGTCCTTATAAGAGATGGCGCGGGGAGAGAGTGTCAGCTTCCCAGCAGTGAAGAGGGCTGGGAAGCCGTGCTGAGTGGCATGCGGGCCTGCTTGGACCTGCCCCTCCTTGGTTCTGATTTCTGGCCCGGGCTTGGGGTGGACACCAGGGCGCCAGGGGGCCAAGGCTGAGTCTCGGCCTTTGAGGACCAGGAGGCGAGGTGCTGGTTTACGCCTGACTGACTGGGAAACTAAAATTACTCGGGGTTTTTAACCAATAATCCCTTCACCAATGAGATTACTTTCCACCTGCTGTTCTCTGATTATTAAATCTGATTTATAATTTTCAGAATCTGTATTCTCCAGTGATATTAATGAAAGGTGGCCTTCTGAACGTCAAGAATTCTTGATAAATTTTCACAGGCTTTATTTTTTATGTTGCTGTGTTTCGCTACAAGTGCATCTTTGTGAGATGTTCGGATTAGGGGCTGGCTTTTAAACACTTCTGAAGGAAGTCGCTTCTCTGTTCTCTCTTTAGTCTTTTTGGACATTCTCTACGTTTTCGGCCTCAGTTTCCTGGTGGAACTGGCATCATCCTGGCCGGGCAAGTGAGGCTGGGTCTCCCCTGGCTGGGCTCCCGTGCCCAGAGCAGGGGTGGCCTCAGCCTGCGTGGTGGCTCGGCATGGGCTGGATTTGGCGGGTATGGTTGTGTCGATGGGGACAGCAGGTCAGAGTGAAGGGTTAAGCCTGCCCTCGGCACTGGGGGTCTTCCTAAGCCCCTTCCTGTGGGAGGACCGCCTCCCCGCCCCAGTACGGCAGGCTTGGCCCCAGAATCGCCACCCTCCTCGCCCTTGCTCCCCACCCTCCACCCACAAGTCTCCCTGTATCTGCAGCCCTCCATCCCTTTGAAACCAGAACCAGATTTCAGCTGTCTGCAGCTGTTGCCTAGCAACCCCCACAAGGGGCCAACCTTATCCTTCAGGTGTCTTCAGAGAGCCTGGGAGTTTCCTAAAACCTAGCTTTTCTTATTGTTTTCTCCATCTGACAAGAGAACATACGATTACCTTACACGCTTTCATCCGTGCCCGTCAGTTATCCAGCTTCAGCTGCGGATGGATTATTTGGCCATGTGACTGACCATCCATTTTGTGGGCTGTTGGGTTTATGACAGAATCGGCCCTGCCCTCATCGCCGCCCCTGGGTTTAGCACGGTGTTCACCTTGAGGTCTGGTCCCCCTGCCGGTAGAGCTGGAGTCTTCGGAAGTCAGCCCAGCCCTGGTTCCTGAGCCGTGCTGACACCCATCAGGCCAACCAGCTCCAGGCTGGCCAGGAGAGCGCTCAGTGCCCGTCATGGGCTCACCCAGGGCCGGAGCGCCTTCTCCCCCGAGTCTGGACAGGCCCCAGCATCCTGCTCCGATCAGCATTCGATCTGGGGCAGGAGCGGATGGAGGCCGGGGAGCAGGCACACAGGTCCTGCCGTCAGACCGCTGGGTCTGGATCCCAGCTCTGCCTCTGTGGACTTAGCCTCCCTGTGCCTCGGTCCTCTGAGCCGGAAACTTCCCCCAGAGAAGAGAGGGGAGCTTTGTATTTGCTTATGGCCGGGCTAAACCCCACCTGGTGGCGCCCCGAGTATCTAACTCAGGCTCTCGACATCATTTTGAAATTACAGGTTCAAAATTAGGCACTGTGTTCATCAAGGTCATGGAGGCTGCTAAACCCTAAAACCCTGATAACTCGGTAGAGGTTTGTGTCTTACAGAGCCCAAATCAGAGTTCCCTCCAGGGGTGGGGATTCGGGCCCTTTCTGTCTTGTGGCTCCCCACCTTTAATAGGTAGCTTTTGGGGTTTCCCCGAAAGGGGAAGAGCAGGGAGGCTCACACGCCTGGGTCTCGAGAGCTGGTCCCCACCCATGTAGTGCCCTGTAGGGTAAAGTCTCACGGCCGAGCGGGGGGCGGGGTGCATGGCTGTATTCTCCATCGGGGTCTTGGTGCTTTCACTTATTAAAAGCTCATCAGTCCTAAGAATATTAAATTATTAGACACGGACATCGCTTAATATTTTTAAGCATTACTACAGAAACGGGGCATTTCTGACTAGGTTGTGATAGTTATTTCAGATTATGATTTGAATAAGTAGGTATTGAACATGACATAGATTTTTATCTGCAATTTTCCATTGTTTGAAATTTTTAAAAATGCTTTTGTCATTATTCACACGTAAAAACTGTCAGACGGCCGAAGTGGTCCCAGGAAGGGGCCAGATGTGGCTCTCAGCTTCCGTTCTCGCTGGGAAATAGTTATTTCCCCGTCTTTTTCGAGTGGGACACAGATGTAAACAGCGTGGGGGACTCTTCGTCCTCCAGCCACGTTGTTGTCAGGCCCCATGCTTTGTGGAAGGACAGGCCACCCTCACGCCACCAGCCCTGGCTGCTCAGACATTCTATCTCTGGCCCAAAATAGAAAGGACCTTTCTCCCCCTGCAGTGTGTCCTAGCGGTGGCCTGGTGGGTTGGCCCTGGCAGAGCTCGGGGTTTGCTGGGGCGGGAATGGGCCACCCCTTCTGCCGAGGAAGGAAACAGGTGAGTGTCATCCCCGCCCAGAGGCTTGGGGAAGGCAGAGGTGTGCGCAACACGGACCAAGTGGGCCGAGAAGACCCTGGATGGGTGTTCCCGCAGCCGCAGGAATCAGGTCAAGGTGTGACAATCTCCCCCGGAGGCCAGGCGTTCCGTCTTTTTGTTTGATGTGCAGCCTCCGACAGATTTCAGCTGCAGCATCGAGTGAGCACATCACCCTTCTCAGAAGATGAACTGGGATTAGCGGGTTCCTTCTTTTTGTTTGATGTGCAGCCTCCGACAGAGATTTCAGCTGCAGCATTGAGTGAGCGCATCACCCTTCTCAGAAGATGAACTGGGATTAGCGGGCTGCCCGGTGGGAGGGGAAAGCTGGCCGCCTTTGGGCGCTGTGTCTCCCTGGGCCAGGTCAGGGACTGAGGACTGGCAGGTGTCCCAGGGTGGGGTCCAGGGAGGCTGGCCTGCCACTGCGTTTAATGGCGTATGAGTTGAGACTTTCAGGAGGTTGTGTAACAAATTGCTGACATGCCGTCGGTGCCTGTTTATGAACTCGGAATGAAAGTTAGACGGAAGACTTCCCTAATGAACGGAGGGTCCCTCGAAACCTGGGAGCTTGTTGCCACGAGGTGTGTCGTGGCTGACCGTGGGTCGGAGCAGGGCCTTGCTGGGGACACCGGTGTCTCCAGGGAGTAACGTTGTGACCCACTAACAGAGTGGCTGGTCGATGCTGGAAAGCCATCCCCTATACCAACGGGAGGCCAGTTTTCCTTAGAGAAGTCGGTCAGCCTTTGGTGACCGTGCGAACATCGGCAGGCGTCAGCGTGGTCACGCCATTCAGGGTGGGAATCGGTCTGTCCCGTGGCCTAACCCCTCTGCTTTGCATTGCAGAGCCGAACACGGTCAGCTACAGCCAGTCCAGCTTGATCTACCTGGTGGGGCCCTCGGACTGTACGCTGCACGGCTTCGTGCATGGAGGTAAGGAGGAGAGCCTGTCACCGTGCGTTCCCTTCCCGCTTGCCAGGTCCTCGTTAATCGCCTGGGAAGGCGTGCTGCTGTCTGACCCAGTTTAGGCTCTTGTGCTTAATGGAGCATACGCTTAGATTTTTTTCAAGGGTTGCATGATAAGTTACTGAAACACCGTCGGCGCCTGTTTTTAAAATTGGAGCGAAAGCTGGATGGAAGGCTTTCTAACCAGAGGGTCACTTGCAACCTTGGGAGCGCGAAGCCAGGAGGTGTTCAGGCTGCCCAGGGGGGCAGGGCAGGGCCTTTTGGCGGTGGGGGATGCTGACGTCCCCAGGGAGTAACATCAAGACCCACTGACAGTTGCTAATAAAAGACGTTTTTGCCGCTGATGTTGGCATTTGCTTTTTCCTTCGGTCAAGTTCCAGCTCAAACGACACAGGCCTTGAAGTTCTTAGCTTGAGGCACGTGGCCGGAACACGCGAGCTCTCGGCTCCTGGTTCACGGAAGGACACTTTTTTACTTTAATAGCGTGTAATTCTTTTTTTGTGATCTAGGGAAAATTTAGTACATTAAGCCCACAAATTAATGGACGTTATCATCTTAGATGAGGTCGAAGTAAACTTTAGAGAACAAGTCGATGGAAAGGAAACCATAAGGCGAGACGTGGTGAGGTGGTACGGACGATCGCCGAAGTCGGAAGGGTGCGTGTGGGTGCTGGAAGCGTGGGCTCTCGGTGTCCTGAGCTGTTTTTCCCTCGCTCCCCGGGCGTAACAGGCTCTTGCGCAGTGTCGTTCATTGGCACTGTTGTTTCCAGTTGCCTGGGATGCTTCTCCACTCAGGAAACTCCTGCTCACCCTTCGAAACCCAGCTCTGGGGGCACCACACTGCAGGGTCCCCAAGGGACGCGTCGGGAGCAGGGCCCAGTCTCATCCATCGTGTTGGCTCCAGGGCCTCACACGCAGTCAGGCCCCTGCGCAAGCTCGTCCGTGAATGAGAGGCACAGGTCACGCTCAGGTTGAGAAGCTGGGGAAGGTGCGCCCTGGGCCTGTCGGAATTGGAGAATGGGCCCTGATTTGAGATGTGCTTTGAAAGTTGGCATCTTTTGTTTTTTTTTAACAAATCCTCTTTTGTGTATTTCTGTTTTCAATTTCATGATTGCTTTCCTCTTTTAACTAGATGCTGGCTGCAGCACCCTTAGATCCGCTTGACTCGGGTCCTGCCCAAGGAAAGCTCTATTTTACAGCAAACAGTACTTTTGTGACAATCAGGGTGTCTGCCTTGGGGACAGCTCTGGCCTCGTACAGCTATGGCCTCATACGCTTTCTTGTTCATCTTCTCCAGGCCTGTCTCCCTCACGGAAATGGGGGGCAGCCCCCTCTTCTGAGCCTAACCATCAGGGGCTCAGGCTTCTGTAACTGCTAAGGACTGTCTTTGAGCCTCACAGAGCTCCATTCTGCCTGAAATGTGCGAAATGTCAGGCTAGAATCTTTGCTTATTTCGTCCACACGTTCATGTTCGTGAAATGTGGCGTTTCCGTCATCGCTCGCTCCTGGGTGAAAAGTCCACACTTAATCTTCGCAAGCTGAGGCGACAGTGAAATTGTGGGAACCCCCCAGAAATTAGCGGCGCATCCTCACGTTTGCAGAGTCCGAGCTGCTTTGTTCGGTGCGGGCGCATTTTTTTAATGTGCACTTTGGAAGCGTGTACGATGACTTTACAAAATTAATGCCTATTTTAGTAGGGCCTCTTGCCCAAAATTAAGGGGAAAAAGCCTAATCATTACCCGAGACTCCATCGTCTCTCACAGTGCATGCGCCCACACCAGGGCTGTGGCTCCACTGCGTTTTCCCGTGGCGAGAATTCTGTCGACGGGAGCGGGACTGAACGTCGCCCGACAGCAGGTCCTCCCTGAACCGTAGTTCAGTGGACGCTGGTCGCAGGGGGGCGTGGTGACCCACGTGCACGCGGATTCAGCTTTTATGCGATTCTGCCCCACGTGCATGTCTTCCGAAAACAACTCTTGTGCCTCGTTTTCTGTGATTTTCATATATTGGATAGTCTTGATCATGAGGACTAACTCTTGGCCACACACACACACACACACACACACGCGCGCGCGCGCGCGCCTTGGCGATGCTGAAGGGTGAAACGTGTTGGGAAGGGCTGGAAATCACAGATGGACGCCGGGGCTGCAGTCAGACCTGAGGGCTTCCCTCCTTCCCTGGGCACGTGGACAGGACTCCCATGATTCCTTGAGGGAACAGAAAAGGCGCAGGGAGTGAACAAGGGCGGCGGAGGACGCTGGGTGTGCGGGAAGGCGGCCGGCCGCATCCCTGTGGCTCTGAGTGTGAGGGTCTCCGTGGAGAGGTGCCCGCCTGGCTTTGGGCTCCTGCCTCCCCGAGTCCTGAGTGAGCTGTGCGTGGTCCTCCCTTCCTCCCCTTGCAAGTGCTGGGATCTCAGCCCCAAAAGGCTGCTCCCCCTCTGCTCTCCCCTCCCCCACTGTTGGCTGTACCTGAGGGATGACCCGCCATACCTGTGGTGTGTTTAGGTTCATGCAAGTCACGACCTTATAAACTCACCCAGACACCCACCCCTGATAAAAAAACATTCGGCAAGAATAAGAATTGGTGGTGCTCCTTGAACGTGACAAAACACGTCTCGCTGGAAGAGGGAGCTTGGGGGGCCGTCCCCGAGGTCGGCAGTGAGACGAAAGCATCCAGTCTTTCATTGCTAGTTAACGCTGTTCTAGAGATTTTAGCCACTGCAGTTAAACAAGAGGAAAACATAAGAGGCACAGGAATCAGCAAGAAAGGAAAGCTACCTGTCTTTGCAGGTGGCACAAACCCAGAGGACCTGAGATTCAGTGATAAAAATAACTCGGATCGTGAAAGAATCCAATAGGCAATGAGGTGAATGATACTTAAAAAAAAAATGATCTGAAATAGAAAAATTACTTTTCATTATTTTTGTTTGCAGGTATGTTTGTTTTCAAAGATGCTTTTATGTCTCAAATTTTAGCTGTATCACCAAACATCGCTTTTTAGTAAATTGGAAGGTCTTGTTCTCTTTCTGTTAGTTCCCAAGATGTGATTTGCTCTGATTTGTTTCCTCTGGGACTCTCCTTGCCTGGCCCCCTGTCAGCTGTTCCCACGTGCGTTTCCCAGCCTGCGAGGGACAGTCCCCACTCACGGCCAGCTGGATGTTGAGAGGAAAGGCCCCCCAAATCCGGCTGGCTGTGGCCAGACCTCGGGAGCAGGAGGCCTGCTGGGGGTCCGCGTGGGGCCCGCTCAGGCAGGCCCCCGGCACCTTAAATAGGAGCTCCTCTCTTCTGAGCGGTTGGCAGCCTTGGGCTTTTCTTTGGCACTTTATTTTCAAATTACTTTAAACCAGAGCATTGCAGGAGTCGTCCAGAGGGCTTTTGACAAAACAGGGCTACTGCTTGTCCTCCCTTCCCTCTGGCCATTCCACTCCGCAGCGCTGGCGGCCGCTGCTGGGGCGCGCCTCGGCCCCCGGCGCATGCTCAGGTACACGCCTGGGTGCCGAGCCGAGCGCCACGAGGGGGCCGCCCGTGTGGTGTTGCTGCCACACGCTGAATACCAGGTCCCCCGCCCTCCAGCAGCCGTGTGAAACGCTTCTCGGCACAGTTACGCCTGCCAGACGGTTACCGGTGCCGACGTCCCCCTGGAGAGATCCGCCCCCACCCCTCCTCCACGTTCTCGGGGTGCACTGCTCTGCACTGCCTTCCTGGGCAGCTTTGCCCCCCACCAGGGCTGCCCTGACTCACGTGTCTTGCATTGTCCTCTTGGCTAGTTTTGCTGGAGCAGGTCCTCCAGTGGCTCCCTACAGAAGGCGGTGTATTGCCCAGGGCAAAGGCTCTGCTGCTGTGATGAAGGCCCCAGCAGTGACTTCCGGAGAGACGAGTACCGTGTCCCGTGTGACGATGCAGTTGTGCACGGTCCAGGGCTGACCTGGCTGCTGTGCTGTTGGGGACCCAGGCTTCCTCCTCCCGTCGTGCGGTCCCTGGGGGTTGCCTTCTGCGTGGCACATGATGGCATGTCCCTGTGTCAGGGTCCCAGCCTGAAAGGCCGTGGCGGACACCCCAGCAGACTACAGCCGCACCGTGCTCTCATCCCGTTGGCCTGACGAAGCCACATGGCCACGTCTGCTGAGGGTGGGTCTGGCTGTGCAGACGTGTGTCTGTTAAAACCTGGAGTTGATGTAGAAGACGGGGGACCGATGGCTGCTCTCTGTCACGGATACCCGAGAGAGAGAGACGTTTCCTGTCTGGGAACGGCATCCTCCCTGGGGACACAGGCATCACTGCATCATCTTCCAGTATCTGAGGTTTCTGTTCAGAAATCCGGGGATGTGGGATAATGGCCCGTGGGCCTGATCGCTCTTGATTTCCCCTCCACTCTGGTCACTTCTGCCTGTTCCTCTAACCGAGCTTCGCTACCTGTCCTGGCCTCCAGCCCGCCCCACCCTCGTCTTCCAGCTGACTTCTCATTGCTTAACCCACTCTTCTGTGCGGTTTGCAGTTCTTGCGTGTCTTGTGTGTGATGTCACGTCCTC